CAACACTTTAAGGAGAGTTACGCCAAGCTTTTATGACTCAGATATTTACAGTAAACCAAGTCATTATTACTTGTATGACTGCTGAATGTTTTTCAGAGTTGTAACAATTCCAGCTGTGGGTTGAGCAAACGAAGAAAACCCGATAAAAGTCAGGGCGTGTTTTCTCACGACAGGTTTAATCCAAACCCAGCTGTCTAGGTGTGTGGAGCACGAGCTCAGAAAAGAACTATCATGGTGAAACTCATTAATTCTATGGTAAGTTTTTATTTCTTCACGTCTCTGCTGCAGTGTGTCAAGTTAAAACAAGGTCTTCTGTAAAGGCTTATCCTGTGGCCCTGACTGTCAGATCATAACAGATTATAATAGTATCAGTGCTTATTGTTTGGAGAGAGTGACAAAATATCCTCCTATCCTCTTCAGGCGGAGTTTGACAACGAGCTGGCCACGGCAGGAGGCAAGCTGGTGGTGGTGGACTTCACAGCTACGTGGTGTGGTCCCTGCAAAATGATTGCTCCAGTTTTTGAAGTGTGTTTGATTGAGACTCACGTCCAAAGCTCATTAAGTCACTTTTGATTTTTTTATATTTTTTCCCTTTATAAAAGGCATTTTATTTTTACATGGGGAAATTGTGAAACACTTTAACATCCAAAACAAAGAAATTCTTGACTGGATAATGGAAAAGGGGATAACAGAAAGAGACATTTCACTTTTTTTTCTTTTGTTTGTTGTATTCATGTTTTAAAGAGAGAACTCATGTGATGAAACAGAAGGTTTCAGTTTTCCTTTCTTTCCCCTTACAAATAATTTTAAAATAAGGTTAATGTTGACCTACTTTCTTGCAGGAACTGTCAATACGCTACAAAGGCCAAGTGATTTTCCTTAAGGTGGATGTGGATGAGGTTGCTGTAAGTATGTTTTTGAAGATTTGGAGACATTCGAGTGCCACGGCTGCTGCCTGTACAGAAATCCAGCTGGCATAGCTGCAGAGTAGACGCAAGATTTATGGCTCTTCAAAAGAGAATGCTGAGGATCGGTTCCTCAACAAGAGACATTCGACAGACTCATATTGTTTGTGACATCGCCTCTCTATCTGTAAATGCAGCAGACCTGCACGTAAAGGTGTGTTCAGTTCTGTAGAGTCTGTAAGCTACAGGTGAAAACACCCATTATTTTTGACAAGATATAACCTGTAAATTCATGTGACCAGTGTATAATCCAAAAACATTAAAGTTGCAGAGGTTTACAATAGACTGTTTGATATTTCGGCAGCACGGTGGCGCAACTGGTAGAGCTTCTGCCTCTCAGCGAGCAGGTCCCTGGTTCAAACCCCAGTCCAGGGGCCTTTCTGGGTGGAGTTTGCATGTTCTCTCCGTGCATGTGTGGGTTTTCTCCGGGTACTCCGGTTTCCTCCCACAGACCAAAAACATGCATGTTAGGCTGATTGGTAACTCTAAATTGCCCCTAGGTGTGAGTGAGAGAGTGAATGGTTGTTTGTCTCGTTTGTCTCTATGTGGCCCTGTGATGGACTTGCGACCCGTCCAGGGTGTACCCCGCCCCTCGCACAGTGATTGCTGGACATGGGCACCAGCGACCCCCGTGACCCAAAATGGAATAAACGGGTAAAGAAAATGGATGGATGGATGGATGTTTGATATTTCTGAGTACGCCGCAGCAGTTTCGGTGGTTCGTCAGTCAGTCTGACCGGTCGCTCTCTGTTTTAGGATCTGTGCCAGCAATGTGGCATTCGAAGCATGCCCACGTTCCAATTCTACAAGAACGGAAAGAAGGTGAGTCAGAATTCGTGTAACGCATCATTAACCGGTCTGGTATGGTCCAGGCAGTTCATTTTTTTCATTTGAATCAAACAAAAAAAAA